GAATTTCTTCTGTTGCCCTCAGTAAGTAAGAGCTGCTATTTCAAGAATATATCTTCGGAAAGTTCCCTAAAAATGGACAGGGAAGAAGAAATGAGGTAGTTTCACATCAAAAAGTGAGTCGTATTCATGATGTCTGTGATCTACTGTGTTGTGATTTTGGGGGCCTGAGGTAGGACTCTCCAGGGATTGCATTTGATCCTTGAGTCTCTAGGCTAGGCATCATCCCTGTCAGGCTGACTGTTTCTACCCTGAAGGCAGGTGACATGACAGGCATGTTGTGATGTGGGATGCTGTCAGCCAAGGGGAAACCTGCTTTTCAATTTGGCAGGTTACAAAAAACTACATTTAAAAAAATAAACAGCAAAATTGCATAACTGCTTGAACAGACACCTGTTTTCTTCAGAAAAGAGATATTAATGTAATTCTTACTCCACTCTGAAGTCATTGAGACTTAAACTTTGTTCTCTGTGCTAATCCCCAGCAGGTCCAACCTCTCAAATGGCAGAACCTCCTAGCAGTCCATGCCAATTAGATCTGCAATTATTATATATATATATTATTATATATCAACAGTCCAACTTCTTCAAAACTACTGCAGCATTCAGGCAAATAGGAAATTATTCTGGTTGTCTGAAGGGCCACCTGCAAATTATTGTCAGCTATAATCTGTTTTGCAAATGACAAAGTCAAACATGGCACTAGAAGAGAGACTGAAGATACATGAGTCTATTTTCGTGCCTCAGATCCTTTAAGGTTCAGGGCATGTATACAAAGAAAGTCTTACAGACTTGCCTGGAAAATCTGCAAATGTAGATTTTTTAAAGTGCAGCATATGACCATGGAGCATTTCCCTAGCACGTAATAAAGTTCATTGAATTATACTAACTTTAGACAGTGCTACTATGATGGGTGGATTTGAGCTAATCATTTCTACCAAAATAGGCCTTCCAGTTTATATCAGTCTAAGGTAGATTTCCAAAATAGGACAAACGAATTAAGCAGCAAGATTAAGATCTGCCATGTATTTATTCTCTGAACCTTTCCTTTGGGAAGGAAGTATGAACAATGCAATACTGCAATGGATAGTTTTGAGTGCCCTTTTCTCTCTGAAGCATCAAGCAGCATTTACATATAAAACAGCCACATAATTTTTTTTTTCCCCTCAAACATAAAAATGGCTACAGTAAAACAAAATCACACCTCTGTCAACAGAAAACATGTACTGAGGGGTGTACAAAAAGGATAATCAGTGCTAATTCCTGAGAATGTTCCTTCAGCATTCCAAATCTGCACCTCTACTTAGAGAAACATAGGAGATGCCTCTGGACAGAAATCTCAGAGGATATTTCTTTCTTTACTTTGTTTAGGTGTTTTTGAGTCTACATATATTCCCAGCATCCAGAACATCCCAGAAAAAAAGGAGCTCAAAAATAACAGACACAAATTCAAAAAGCTCTTAGTACATCAGCTGAGAGAGAGCGTGTGAACACCAACCACAATACCAGGAAAATAAAGTGATTCTACCTCCAGGAAGGAGCTAATAATAACATACTATATTACTCTGCGCAGAGATCACAGCTCAGGCTAACATAACCTGGTCATCTGTGTCTCAGTTTCTTTATCTAGCCATGCATATACAAAATAAATATATTTTAAAACAGCTTTTGGCCTTGTCAGTTTCAGATTCCACAGAAGTTCATTTCTGACTTGCAACAACAATATGGCTTTGCTGTAATCTGGATTCAAAGTGTCATACTGTTCAAGAAGAAAAAAGTACACTGTCTCAATATTAAACATAACCCCAGTGCTGAGCCTCATGTAAACAAACAGGAGCTTTTGGATTTGGCCTGACTGTGACTCTATGAGGTGCTAAGAAAGAAAAAAACCCCAAACACCCAAACAGTATTAACCATGGAAACTGCCATAATAACTGTTCTATTTCAGTTGGGATGGAGTTGATTTTTCTTCACAGTGTCTAGTAAGATGCTATGTTTTGACTTTAGGAAAAAAACCAAAGTTGATAACACATTGATGTTTTAGCTGTTGCTGAGCAGTGGCTTCAAAGAGCCAAGGATACTTCAGCCTCTCAGCTTCTTGTACTGTCTTGCCAGCGAGAAGGGATGAGGAGGCACAAGAAGGTGAGAGGGGGCAGAACCAGGACAGCTGATCTAAGGTGGGCAAAGGGAAATTCCATATGACTTCATGTGAAAAAACTTGAAAAGCTGTAGGGAGTTGGCTGGGCAGGTAGCTATTGCCTGGGGACTAGCTGGGCATCAGCTATCAGGAGATGAGCAATTGCACCGCACATCACTTGTTTGTATATGTATATGTTTATTACTATTATCCATTACTATTAATTTTTCCCTTCTTTTCTATTTTAGTAAACAGTTTTAATCTCAACCCATGAGTTCTAGTTTGTTACTTTTTCCCCCCAGTTCTCTCCCCCATCTCACTGGGAGGGGGAAGTGAGAGAATGACTTTGTGGTGCTCAACTGCCTGCCAGGTTAAACCATAGCAATAACTTGTACTGCAAAAGCAACGTTGCTTGGTAATTTTAAAGAAAGACAACAAAGAAGGAGCAACAGAAAGAGACGAGAAAAAACACAACTTCATTACAGATCAATCACAATCAATCTACTGTTTTACAATATCCCTTCCCACTATTTCACGTGTGGGAGCACAGTAAGATAAAAGCTGTCTAGCTGGATCAAATCAAAAGTTTCTCTGTTCAAGCATTTGTCTACAATTGTGGCAACAACAGAAGCCTACAGAAAAGTATAACAACACAGAGACTTCTCCAGGGAGTTTCCCAGACTTCAGCAATTTGAAGCCTAGAACTTTCAGAGAAGTAGTGGTGTCTGTTTGACACCCTCCGGGGATATTTATTTTACCAACTTTAATCGACTTTCAAATGATTTCAGTCCTGCTGCAGAGCTCCAACTTTAATCATGTTATATGAAGAATAATCCCTTTCTATTCTTTCCAAACTTGCTACCAAATAATTAAGTGTTCTAGTTCTCATGCTGAAAGAGGATGAAAAAAAACAACCTATTAATCTTTTCTGTTCCACCCATAATTTTACAGAGCATAGAATGCAGCAATTTTCACCTCAATTATGCCGTTTTCAAACTGAAGTCATCATTCTCATGCCTTAATTGGAAGATATCCAATGCTGTTGATCACTTTTGATGCCTCCTGTAAACCTTTTCAGGGCTACTAAATCTACTTTGAGATGAGAATCAGAACTGTATGCACAGATTTATGTACATGGTTTTATTAATAGCACTGAATGTAAGATGGTTTTTTTGTTCCTCAATCTCTTCCTAATCTTTACTAAATTCCATTTGTTTATTTGACTAGTACTTAACAGTGAGCTTATGTTTTCATTGACCTCTAATTTCAAGATCACTTTCATGACCAATAAAAGCCAGTCCAGTGTCCAATATGAAATACATAAATTTTGGCTTGTTTTTCCTCCCCATCAGTTAACTACTAATTTCACTGAGTTTTACATGCTGCATTATGACTCAGTTCCTCAACACTGCCAGGTTTTTTGAAGATCTTTGCAGCCTGCTCTCCACTTTTCTACCATGCTTAAAATAATGAATTTGCTGCTGATGCTAATTCATCTCTTTTCTAATATCATATATCTAGCTCTCATTTTTTAACAAAAATAAAGTTTAAAAAACCATGAAAAAATACCATAAAAGTGAGTTTCATAATTTTATATCTTATCATTAACAGATTCAAAACTTTGCAGCTGAGGTGAAACTCTTAATTGTTTCAGTGCTTAGAAAACTGGATAATGGCTAAATGAACTGGACTTATCATGGCAACAGCTGCCTTAAAGAGGAATATGTTTTTATAGCCCTGAAAGCACAGAAACTTGAAGTACGTGATGAACAAGAGCCTAAATTTACAGAACCTAGGGATGAAGGCTAATCAAGATGTTTGATACCACTGGAAAACCAACAAGCAAACAAAACAAACACAAAGTCACCAGTGCAATAAACTAAAACACCTTTCTGGAAAACTTCATTCATTTATATATTAAGTGGCTTCCAGTTAATAACGGAAGAAAAACAACAACAAAAAACCACAAGAGGGCAAATCATTATCGTCTCCAGCAACACACTGTTTCCTTAATGTTCGTGAGGGCTGTCATGATGATAGAATGTTAGTCTAGTGGACTTGCTCTTAAGTCATTAAATCTGTGTAGCTGCCTTAATTCAGACAAAGTGAATGGGTAACATCCTGAAGTGAAACTTACCTTCTTGAATACGCAGGCAGGCTGATAAGCTTTTTTAGCCACAGCTATTCCTAAGTCTCTGCTTGAAGGTCAGTGGTCTTTATCTCAAAGCTCTATCAAGCAGTCTGCTGACAGCACAAGAGCTCTTTTCTGCGCATCCACAGCCTTCGCAGTTCAACAAATTGTCAGGGAGCACAGGTAGCAGACACTCTGCTTTAATCTGCTTCCTCTCCAAGGCTGACGTGTTAAAAAAAGTGCAGGACAGACTTATCTGAGAAGAGCAGCAGCAAGAGTTGGGGACCAGGTTAGGTCAGGTGTCCCCCTGACACCTCGACAGCAAGAAAACACCTCTACTGTGGGGCAGCTACGAGGAAGTTCAGCTCCTGGTATCAGCACCTGCTGTGGACTATGTGTTTTCACAGAGGCCAAGTGGGCCTATCTTCCCCACCTCTCTGTATGCTGGGTATGAGGGAACATCTCTTTCCTGTCCTGCCAGCTGGATAGGCTTCCCTTAGTTGTATATATTCCCATTTTCTAAAAAAAACAATGAGCACACCTGCAGCAAATACTATTAGCTAGAGCTGCTTTTTCAGTGTAAAACAAATAATACAGTAGCATACAAGACAGAAATTAGTTTTCTAAAAACAGAAATGTTCTGTCCTCACTTTTCTGTGAGTAATTACAGATGAGCCACGGTCACAGTGAACACTTTCTGGTGAGTCAAATTGTACTTTTACACACGAAGACATACCTTTTCACCAGGAAGACCAGCAGCACCATCCTGTCCTTTTGCACCCATCTCACCCTACAAAATAAAATTATTCAGTTAGAAGTTTTAAAGATCACTGACTTAGGTCATATCTTATTCAACAGAAAAATACCTCCTTCCACTGCAGACATGTTATGTCATACTTAGTAATACAGTGACTGCAGAGGAAGATGCCATACATGTAACACTAAAGTCAGAAAAAATAAGTACATTTTATAATACTTACACTGTCAATTAAGACAAATACTTGCAAGTGTATGTTTCTAGGAAAAAAAAACTAACTGCTGATTTCAAGGGAATTCATAGTGACAGTAGACTTAGGCAAGGTAGGTGCAAATTCACTAGAATGAGTGTATTCAACTCTGAGAAAGTACATGGAAATAGGGAGTTACTTTGATCTAAAAGTCTTGTGCACACAATATTTTTAAAAGACATTTTGAACTCAGTTACCTTCTCCTTCCCTGTCACCTCCTCAAAAAACCAAAACCCAAACTGTAAGCAATCCAGAAAATGTTAGTTTTAAGAGACTCTCCTGACTGATCAGGAGAAATACAGAAGGTTCCAGCAGCTGCAGATTGGACAATTAATCTTAAAAATGATCGAAGAAAACAGAGAACAAATAAATTTTGCTCAAGAATGTCAAGAATAAGGGCTACAAAGTTTAAAATCCAAGTCAGGTGGAAAATAGAGGATGATAGAGCAATGAAACCCTATAGTTTTTCATTCTAAAAAAAAAAAAATAAAATAAAATAAAAAAAATGAAAAAAAAATTAAGCTTTGTTTACTTGTTCCAAGAAATGAAAATTCTCCAGTGAACAGAAAACACTACAGTCTTTTTTTTTGCAGTAAACCAACTCTTCATGAAAAGAATGTCACTGATTTGAAAACAATTTATTTTTTAATTTTATTAATTTTTTCTTTGAGTTAAAGGAGTGCATGAAGAAGGACAAGCCATAATTACACAAATAATTGCTTCTTATAAAAGGGTACAGAAATAAGTGGGGTGCTCAAATTCAAAACTGATAAACCTAGAAGTTCCTGCTGAGGAATGAAGTCCCATAACCTCTAAACTGACAAAATGTAGAAATTTTTTAAAAAGTGAGATCCTAGGAACTTGTAATTCTGATGATATTCAGCAAGAGCAGAAACTTACTTGAAGTAGGATAAGTTCATAAGCTTTATCGATAAACACACCCCACAGCAACAAACATCACTTTATCATTGTCTTTACAAATGGGATACACATACAGGGGATTCTTAATTCAGCAGTCCAACAGAAAGGCTTTGGACCACAGCAGACGTCCTGTGACTTTTGAAGCCTATTGGTATGTTCAACCTGTGCGAGTGCTTTCATTGTTATGGGATGCACAGTTATCCCAGAATTCACAAGTGAATCACACCCTAGCAGCCTGGTCTCTTTTCTGACAGCACGGAGAGCAGATGACCAAATTTTTTTGTGAGACCAATGCTGTGTAAAGTGCCCAACTGTTTCTTACCTGACAACCTATGTCTCTCCATTAGGTTTAAAGTGACTTTACTTAATGTAGGCATGATATAATTACATCAGCTAGGTATCTTAGAACTCACTGCCAGAATAACCACTGTCGTAAAGATTAAAGAAAACACCACTGTGTAGACACACAAAAAAAGAACCACTAAAAACAAAAACCTGAAACCCTCAAAGAGAGAATACTGTAAATACATTCATCTTTTCAGTGTAAATGCAGTACTACTTCTACAAAATGATGAATTTTAACCTTTCTGAAGTTAAGAAAGGAATACCAAGATTGGCAAGAAAACCCTAAAGCACGCAGCAACAGCGTTTGGTGCATCCCAGACCAGCCATTATTAACCACTTACTTCATGTTAAAAGGAGGATTTATAGTACATGTTTTCCTCACCATTCCCTTCAGGCTACCATCAGCAGCTGCTGACTCAGCAAAGCATATTCTGAAGAGCTGAGCTCTCACTCATGCTCTACGCAAAGCTCTTGCCTTGAATGCTTTCAGAGAGGGGGCAATCACAACCTCTCTAGGCAACTTGTTGCAGTGTCTCACCACCCTCACAGTAAAGAATTTCTTCCTGATATCTAGTCAAAATCTACCCTCTTCCATTTTAAAACCATTTCCTCTTGTTCTCATTCTGTTGATACCTGTCCTTATAAAAATTTCCTCCCCAGCTTTCCTGTAAACCCCCTTCAGTTACTGGAAGGTCACTATAAGGCCCCCCAGAACATTTTCCTCTCCAGGCTGCAGAGTCCCAGCTGTCTCAGACTGTCCTCGCAGGGGAAGTGTTCCAGCCCTTCATCATCTTTATGGCCCTCCTCTGGATTTGCTCAACAGTTCCATGTCCTTCTTGTGTTGGGACCCTAGAACCACTGAACAACTATTGTCGTTACTTCTCAACTACCCATAACATTTCTCTATATTCCTTGTCTTCCATTTTAAATTTCTAAAATCTATTCACAGAAACCACCATAAAGCAATTACATCTGCACAGCCCAACTGAAAACTCCTCTGTTTATAATAGCAGCCCAGAGATCGCCTAACATGAGCTGAACCTGGTGAAGAGCACCACTCCACTTTCTGATTTGAAGACACTGATCAGAAAGAGTCGTGTTAGAGTCATGTTATGGAGGAGTATACGAGCCATTTTTCACATCCTATTTTTTTTTCAAATATTCGTGTGGTCCTTAATATAGGCATGCTAAATTATTCTGTCTCAAAAGTAGAACAAGGTGTTGAATGTGTATGTTAGGACTGCTAGGAGCAGGACTGGTCCTTAGTTAGCTTGGCTTATCACCACAGAGTGACTGCCTTATCTATTCACGCTCTGTTCCCTTAAGCCACTTGCAAGTATTTTAAGAAATCAGAACATTCAGTGGTTTATTTTTATATATGTGTAGGCAAAAATTACACAGCCTGGTACATGACTGGAAGACTTTAGCTGTATAGTTAACCATGCTATGTTTACATTTCTGTTTCATTAAGTTCAAATGGATTCCTTGCCTTGAAGACAATTATTTTCCATAGCAAATTAGATTATTAAGATATGCCTCTGTCTTATAACCATGATTTTAATAATCACACTCTGGTTTTTCATTCTTTTGTTCAATGAATTTAAAGATCACATACTGCATGTTGTATTGCCAACAAAAGAGTTCACACAGCAGACTGACAGAATAAAAAAAAGGGCAAGTGCATTTCTAAGAGCTTTTGGCCTGTTTTTACATAATAGACTTTTATTTTGCTTCTGCAGATATTGAAGTCCTTTATATGTGAACATGCATCATCTTCTCTTTCTCATATAAGAAATCCCAAAGATATAGAAATAAGAATTAAAAACAGGGTCCCAGACTACCACGCCTACATCTATCCCTAAATAAATCTCTTTTTATGGTTTAGCAAGGGCATACCAACACACTGCAATTAAGCTTTATAAGTTTATGTAATTAAACTATTAAGAAAGAACAAAAATTTACATTTGCTTAGAACTACCAAAATTAACAGAAATACAGGCTGGTAGCCATGCAAACTAATAGTGTAATGCTGGTATTATAGATTATGAAGTAATCTGTGCATAATAATTCAAAGCTAGTACAGTGAGCTGTAAGCCTACTGTTAAGAATTTCTGCTAAGAGTAGCATTGAAAATTCTTTTCAGCAGAGCACAAAGTTACTTAGTGAATAAAATATTTAAGCCATAGCACATTTTCCAGAACGTAACATTTTACAAACAATAGGTTGGCTATTATACTTTTGACAGGGTTTATTTTGGTGAACTCCAGCAGACAGTGGAAATTCAGCAGCCTCAGCCCAACACACACACAAATGTTTCTGTTAGCCTTCCAGAAAGCAAAGCCAAGCCAAATTCTTAAAAAGAGATTGCAGTCTCTTTCCAATGATACCAGTCAGCTGTCTATCTGAAGTAGAACTAATTCAGCGCATCTGAGGCCATCTGCAGTACTAAAATTGTCATTATGTTATTAGATTGATGATTCAGAGTTTCAAAAGCACTTGACCTTTACATCTTTCTGGCATTCAGCCATTATTCAGTGTTCCCATTGTAGAACTCAAAATCATATGCTAGCATCAAACAGAAATCATATATCTGTTTTATATATATATATAAAATATATTTATCACATATTACTATTGTAGAGTTTTGTACAGCAAAGATAGCAAAAAACAAACAAACAAAAAAAAACAAGTGGAGCTACAGAGAGAATTACAGGGATAATTAACAAATTACAGTCCTTTCCCTTTCCCACATAAAAACCCAAAAGCCTTAAGACAGCATTTTATTTAAACAAATTTGTAATTTAAGAGATCAAATAATTTCAAATACATTTACACTGTGACATGGAGTGGAATTAACATGACACTCTGATACTGAATCTAGAAAAGAAAGTCTACAAGAAACTCTGAAAGGAGGAAAATATTCTCAGCAGTGTTCTGATCTAACCAGGTTGTGATTTCATTACTCAAATAAAAGCAATTGCATTTAATAAATAGAAAGAATGACACAAACATGGCCTAGAGCACATAATGCTACAGTACTGCTCTTGTCAACAAAAAGGACATGTTAGTTCAGATTAAATGAAGAGCCTATATCAGTTCTCAAAAGACTCCTTATCCAAAGTTTTATAAGACTTCATAAGGAAAATTAGCTTTCCTGGATTTCATCTCTGTATAAAGAATAAATGCCAGTAGCATCAGAAACATCCAGATAAGAAAATGTATATCATTATCAAGAAAGAAATATCTGCAGATCCAAGAGAGTTGCTACCAGTAGACAGTGTACTGTAGACAGTTAATTCCAAAAATGATATAGAGAAATGCAAAGGGTGTAACATAAAGAATGGAACCTTTATACTACATCTGTTACCTGTGTAATTAAAATCAGAGGTAGTCCCTGTAAGAAATTACATAAAGTAGAAAGTATTAAAATGTAGTTGCACAGACAGATAAAACGTTCTCATGATTATAAATTGTTATAGAAATATTGGACTTGGAAAGTGCCAACTTAGGAACTTTTTGTTGATGTGTAGAATCAGCTCAAATTCAGAGATGCTGACAAAGATGAGAAAGAAAATTAATCCCTAAGAGTAGCTTGAGCAGAGATATTGAACCAGGTGATGTCTAAAGGTCCCTTCTAACCTTAATAATTCTGTGAATGAACTGGGAATGTTCTATTTCTGTGGCATCACTCTAGTGTTTCCCTGGCATTGATGTAGAAGCTAGATTCCTCATAGAAATTCCTGATTGTGTGCTGACCTGGCAGTGAGGCTTAAGCCCTATTTTGCTGGTTATCCCCTGCAACGGGGCCCACTGATTGCTGCTATTCTGTGTTAACTTCAGCTCTGGGGAGGAGATTACAGCCCTCAACTTCCTGAGCACCTCAAAGTGTTGAGTACTCATTACCACTTCTCCACATTTCTTGAGAAGGTCTTGAACTGCCCTCCTTAATCCTAATCAGGTGAATACTAGAATAATGTACACAATAACAAAGATAAGAGGTGAATATTTAAGACTTTTTCTAAGAAAATTTTCGTATCTGTTAGATAATTTGGACTATTAGACAGTTAAAACATTAACTGGAACTGCCAAAAGATTCTATTCTAAAAAAATTCTAAAAAAAATTTAGAAAAATTCTAAAAATTTTTCTTTTTCATGCATTTCAGCCTCAAGCTCCCTGAGTCTATCAATAACCTCTGCAATAAAAATCAGATCAGAAATGAACTATACTGAAGACTGTAATGCAACAGATATGCCTTAGATGGAAATCGATGAACCTGGATTATGAGGAGTGACAGAGACTGAAGAAAGGAAAACTAGTGAAGAAAAGAGGCAGAAAGAGCAGTAAGATGCCTTATTTGTTCTCCAAAAGTTCTTTTTTTCTAATCATTCTGTTACAAGTATTTTCATATGCATAAATTTATTGCATAAATCTATTTCTATCAAGCCCAAAATAGCATTTTAAACATCTTTTTCTTTAATTAAAATACAAATTAATGAACCACACTTCAACAGCAATATGTGTGCATCAATAGGCACTTTAGTGTTTGAAAGCACTCTGCTTTGATTTTTTGCTCCCTACTGTACTTACAGCATTAACCAATGACCTATTAACACAGCTTGGAATGGGTTATTATTATAATCAACATTTTAATTCTCTTTGGGTTTCTATTTAAAATCTTCAGGGGGTGGAAGCAAAGATTACTTAATATACAATTAATTCCATAGCCTCCTCAAAAGAGAAAAATGGTCTGTATATTCTGTATAATTATTTCAATTACTACCGTCCATGTTCCACCTTTGAAGATTTTCTCCGTATGGAGGGTAGAACAGAACCTTGACATCATGATTAAGTGACTTTCACTAGCAATGAATATACACCATGACTCAGCAGCAGTGGAAGCCTACCTCTACAAAACATATATCTCAACATATTAAATCACAGGATAGTTCCATCTGACTTTTAAGCACTTCAAACTTGTGAAGTACACTGTGCTGAGAATTAAGCCTGTGAGAGTAATAGAGAATACTGTTCAAGGATAACCTAAGTTGTACATTTGACAAGTGTTGCCTTCCAGTTTTACCTGAAGGAAAAAGCTGAAATACGTGTTTTAAGGGCTTGCACAAATAAACAGCAAAGTTGGTCCTTGTGGCTTTCTAAGTCTCAATTATCCAGACATCACAGATCAGGAGGTTGTACCCTGCTGCTGATAGCTGGGAGATACAGATTTCCAGGTAAGTGAAGCCCTGTGGAGCAAACATTGCTAAATTCAAGGTTGCACAGGAGATAAAAGGGAAAGGAATTGCTCTACTTCCTTAGAAGTTTTCTGTTTGTTTGTTTTAAATATGAAATAAGTGGTGTGGTAGCAAACAGTCTGATCTTTCAGCAGACAGACTTTAAAAAGAGCAGTTTCTCCGCCTCAGAAGCCCTTTTCAAAGCCAATGGCTACATCTGTACAGTTAAGAGCTGTCCTCATGATTTACCAATGATTCATAGAGTCATAGAATCATGAAATGTCTTGGGTTGAAAAGGACCTTAAAGACCGTCTAGTTCCAGCTCCTCCATTGTAGGCAGTGTTGTCAACCAACAGATAAGCCTGAATAAAGCCATAATGAAAGGTGAGATTCAAATAGGACAGTCTTTTAAACAAGTGGAATAATTTTGATCAGTGATGCTGCTATAAATAGCTTGTAACTTATGCTAGAGGCGCATAAGAATTTGCATAAATGCCTATTCTAGTGAATAAACATGCATTATTCTTTGTCTCTGATCTGTTCAAAAGTATTAAGATGAAATTTGTATAGTGTATGGGAATGTAGGATAATAAACTCAAAATGCCTAAACGTGGCTTGACAGATATCATGCTTTGTCCTAGTGATAACCTAAATACTCCCGAACAGGCAAAATAGAGTCTGATCTGAAGGAACAATTATGATAGAATGAAAAGCAATTTGAGGTGGGGCTCGAATGCAGCCTAACACCATTTTGAGTCTGTAGAAACTTGCTTACAAATCCCATCATAGAAAAAAGACACGTAAATTTAGTCATACTTTTACTTATGGTGGGTGGGGAATTGGAACGAGATAAAATAAAAGAGCAAGAAACGTGAGTCTGATTGAGAGATCCCATCAATATAACAGTAACTTATCCTTGTCATAACAGCATCCAAGTAAGAACATTTAAATATAGTTGATTGGATGATAATAATATGATCTAGAAGCAAAAAAGAAGAAAGTGAAAAGCAAAGTCTGAAGAACTACCAGTAAACTTACAGAAATCCCTTTCACTTTCCAATTTGTCTGGCCATCAAAATCCTCAGTAAGCTCCTATTTCATGTGAAACACATTACAAAACATCTAAGCACAACCTGTTACTCTCCTGTACATAATAATGCCTCTTGAATATCTGGAAAAGACTATAGTACTGCCTGTCCATCTCTAATTATTGATGCCACCATCAAGAGTGTTACTGAAAACTTGCACAAACGTAGAAGCAAAAAAAAAACCAAACCAAAACAAAAACCAACCCCACATCTATTTGTTTAAATCTTGAAAGGTATATTTTTCATTAATCTCATACTTAACAGTTTTCAGTTTTATATCAGTTTATAAATAATTTGTACTTTGTACTTACCAACCACGTCAGACATGGTCTAATGCACTTTGCTATCAGTGATGGATGCACAGAAGTTAAAGGGTTTCATTGCTTTTCAGATCAATGCAGTGTGGTTTGGTAACCCACACTGGCTAGCTTTAACATAATTGTGCTATATATACAGACCTAGGATCAGCAAAAACCTGTGCTTAAGTGTGGAGGCTATCAACAATCCTTCTAGGCTCAGCTAGACTACAGAAACATATTTGAACTTTCTTCAGATGTACAAGTAGTATCAAAATTGAAACATGGAGGGGAGTGAAGGAGTTGCGAAGGGAAGACATCAAGGCATTTACTCCGCATTTACTGCTGTGCAGATAAGCCCTTTATGAACTGGACCAGCTTCAGCCAAGTACTGCAGTCTTAGAAACAGTGCTGAATGTCTTCACAAGTCATTTCAGATCAAATATTAAACAGCATGCTGTAACGCAGGATGGTGGATAGGACAACTCCATCCTAACAGCTAGATTAACAGTCTTGCGGTATTGCTTGTACTTCTTGCTGACTTGCAGCAGTTTATTCAAGTTGGCACTTCTGTTAGTGCAATAAAAACACATTTCCAGACATTTCCCATCCAAAACATTTCAGACAATTTTAGGCAACAGAGTATAAAGGGAAAACTATATGATAGACTGACTTTCATTACTAGGACACCCTCAAGCTAAATAGCACAGGAATCTCACAATAAGCACTACAGCGCAAAAACAAGGAAGAGAGTTTGCCAGTGTCAGCTTCCTCTCTTTTTACAATTAAGAAAGTTTCAGTAATTAAGAGTGATGTCAAAGAACATACAGTGCTGAGGTCATATTAGTGAATTCTCAGCCTCCTACTGACCACTGAAATAATTAGTCCACTGGATAGGACTCTGGCCATCGACAATGCTATACAAATATATACATATCATAGGGAAATCCTTGTTGTGAACAACATACATGACTTCTCTGTGTTTGAATAAGAGGAAGAAAATACACTATCAGTGTTTTATCTGTGCTTGTTTCATGGCCCATGTGTTCCATGGAGTTCTTGAGTGGTAATGGACCTCAGCGTGGAACAGATCTGGGCTATGTGGCAGAGAGGACACACTCAGAATGAGGCACCAACTGATGAAGGATTTAACCTCTATAAAAATAGATACCTTTCAGGAATAACTAAATCTGGAAAGTTTCTGTCCAATCATTATTTACCTTTTCACCTTTATGCCCTTTCTGGCCTGGCAAACCAGGAACTCCTGGTAATCCTGCTTCGCCCTGATTTTAGAAGAAAACAAGACAGGACAAAAATAATCAACAAAGAAGCATATCCAAAATACGTAATTGGTTTGAATATTGGTCTTAATTACAAAAGCCTAATAAAACAAATGGGCTGGAATAAATATAGCACCACATTCAAGAGGATTTAAAACAAGCAGTATGTAGAAAGCAATCTATTCTGAAGTAAAAATGTTTACACTATATTTACTCTAATACATTAGTAGTAATTCTCATTTTTACTTGTAATTCTCATTGATCCTTGCTTTTTGTGTTCATTCTACAAAATCTTACAGCCCCCTGAAACTGTAATTTAAAAATTAAATTAAAATGTACTGTTTCTTAACTGTAAAATACAAACACACGTGCATTATAATAGTCTAAGATTGTAACATTTTTTCATAACTACAGAAGGAAACTCAAGTGCTTTCTATTTTTTTATTATTATTATTATTTTAAATACCTAGCTGAGTTAAGTAGAATGATGAATTAAAAAGCAATGGGAGAACGTCATACTTTAGTTGGAAAGCAGTGGCATCTGTCTCTTGATTCTTGCTGTGTTCCTGGAAGAGTGTATATTTTGCTGGCATGAACAGACACTGGTGATGAAGTAGTAGCAAGTAATCTGTCCTCATGTGGGCACTAAAATAAAAACAAAATTTGTCTGATTTTTGGTCCACTTTTGTTAATAGATAAATACCAGCCAAATGCTATTTTAACTTACTTTGTTTTAATATTACTGCACATACCATGCTACAGAAAAGCCACAACTGCCTAACAAAGGAAAAAGCTGTAGCAAAATGAAGTCTAGACATTATGATCCTTCAGTACCGAAAACAGTACTGGTCAAAACAGAACTTTTTCTGTTTCTTTCTTCCTAAAGAGCCAAACATCGGAAGAAAACTTCCAGGAACTATAAAAAGTGAAAGCAAAAGATGAGGGGGAAAAAAAATATTCAGAGGCTCTCATTAAGACATATTAAGTCTCCTGTGAGCCTTCTTGTCAAAGAAATTCTGACATGACTTACTTCTTAATGTAGAAATTTGTGATTAAGGAATAATTCCTTTTCCCTATATTACTGAAAATTTAGCTTTTATGATTGGTAAGGGAGATAATGAAAAAGAATTAAAAAAAAATGTGATGCTGAATTCAATATGAAAGTCATTAACAAGTACTCCATTATTTTTATACCTTCAATATAAGACATGCAATTGAAACAAAGTGCTGTTATCTTCATAGCTGAAGGAACATTTAGGATGCTATCAATAAAGCATATCCTTGATCTTTTTGTGTTCATGTTATAGTTAAGGATTATTTTTTCTTTTCTGTTTGTTTCATAACAGCAAATATTTTTTTCCACGTACAGAAAAAATTCATTCTTTTCAATTAGCCATGAGCCTATAAATTCAAAAGAAAGCCTGTGCTATGAACAGGAATATATTTTGAAGCATATTTGAACAAGAAGTTATTACTTAAAATTGAGATTTCCTTTGATAATTTAGATTCAGTCTCTTTTATGCTTCTGATCACCAATCAGTTGTCAGTTCCCACAAATTATTCTCAATGAGTGAAGATCATAGTGCACATGGTCTCAGAGAAGCCTTTTCTGAGAGACTGTTCATAACTAACAAACCAATCTCTTAACCTGTTCGGTGTTTTGTTTTGTTTTGTTTTTTTTTTCCTGAGGGATTTGCTTTTCTTCCCCCCCAGCCCCGCTCCAAACAGGCTTAATTTAGCAAAACAATCACATACATAACTACCACCATTTCTGTAGACTAAATGAACATCTTCCATTATGTACTGTAATGAAGTTTTTGCCAATCCCCAAACATCCATTTTCCCATGTTATTAAATTGAAATAAGGGATATGCCCTTAACACCATCCTATTTTTCTTCTCTTCCACTGTCACGTGGAGTTTTTCATGGGGTTTCTTTGTTTACCAGTTATAATGCTAAAGCAGATACAATAGTTATTAAAGTAGCCTACATTACGTGAAGGTGAAGGCAGTGAATTGGTTTCCTGCTCTCTGAGACTTCCTCAATTACTAATTAAATACTAATCAATGTTAAGATAGGCATTTAAAAAGCACTAGCAGCACCTAGTGCCTTTTACTGAAGTACCACTAAGCCATTTGTTTCAGTGACAAGAAATAATGCACCATGAGTCCAGATACATTCATTTTCAGAGGTTGAACACTTGAATTGGACACTTCCACTGAAATTTCTTTATAACACTTTAGTAAGAGAAAATTAAACATTTTCTTTCATAATACCATTTTTAGTTTAACAAATAACTTACCAGGTCTGCAGATATTTCACAACAGTTATCTTCTGTTGCAACTTTTGGATTACAATAAACTGTTATGCGGTAAAGTTCAATCTATTAATAAATAGAAGAGAATACATTAATATACAAATAAAAAATGTGTTATGGCATGTATTTCCAAATTTTTGCACAAGAAACATTCTCTGAAACTGCATATTTCTGAAATACTGGAGAAACTGAAAAATCCCACAACAAATGCTTAATTCCTCACTTAAGGAACAAACTACACAAACTCTTACTTTCAACTGAAGCAAACTTTAGATTCCATTTTTCTTCATGTAAATTGCAGCCCACTGTGCTTCTCTCACTATGACTACATGGGCATTTTAGCCCAATGGATCTTCTCTGCAAATGTTCTTTTCAGGAGTGTAATGCAAAGGTTTGACAAGTTCTATGTAATATGTAACTCCCATCACTTTGGACAGGCCACCTAGACCTTGCCACTAAACCATCCTAAGAGAAAAGATTCTGAGCGTAAGATTTCTATTTTACAAATTCACCGTGGATGAATAGTGTCTAATTTTAACTGCTTAATCTTGCACTGTCCAGCTTTTACACAAGTCTGTAAATATTAGAGACTGAACCAACTTATTCATAGGAAAGTCTTGGAAAAGCCTAATGTCAGAGATTTGTTTTGCTACAATACACCTCCTGCAATTCTCTTATTTTGTCACTTGCACTTGGCATTGAGAAGAATGACTATCAGTGCAGGATTTGCTTTGCTGTCTTCATCAGCTTTACACCCACAGTGTTTTTCCTGCAAGCGTGTAAAACTCTACTTCCAACTTTTACTTGGGATTATCCAGCTTCTGCCATTAAATAAGACAAGCTAAAAAGCATTTGTTTCTTTTCCTCCATGCTACTTGGAAATAAGGGGATGGTACATACATTTGGAAAAATTTGAACTCAATTTTACAAAATAAATAGTAGTATGAGCTTGGCCTGAGCTCGGATGAGTCCGGGTCAAAGTTGTCAGCACCTCACAGAACTGATTCCTCTTACAGTGCTAGCTTGTAGCTGCAATGTAATGTTTCCATCTCAAACTGTATAATGTACGTAATATAACTGAAGCATTCAAATGGCCACTATAAACTTCAAGCCAAATGCTTGAATCTCGGTAATGGAATGTCAGTATACCTCAATCAAACTGTCATTTCCTGGAACTTTCCAATCACTTGCTCTGATCTCTCTATTCAAGGAAACAGGAGAATATTTATGGAACGGAACAAAGCCCATAATATTAAGGGACTGTCTTGAGTAATTCCACATTGCCCCATTTATCTGCAGATGAGGCAACAGCTTGCTTTCTTCAGGAATACCCTGTAAGAGCTTACTTCCCTTGCACTTGCATTTCATTCTGCAGATCTTGTCCACTGTCTTTTGATAGGAAGGGGTGGAGAAGAGGGACTACTTCACAACTGCCAGCTGCATCTGCAGTCAGTTACTTGTAGCAAAGGCTGCAGGAAATGCACCTTCATCCACTTCCTCAGAAAGTTTGTCTTAGCAGATACTACAGCACTAAATATTATTTAGAAAAAAAAGACCTAAGGACTGTAAATTAAGAATTCCCACTGAAAATTAATAACCTGTTTTGAGTCCTTCCACCCCTCCCTCCCAGTCCCCTGCATAATTCTTCACAATTGTTTCAGTAAAAGTATGGATAAAACATGACTTGAATTTTTGAGTTTTTCTTTCATACTACTCACATCCACAGGCTTATCATCTGCAGCACGAGAAGCAATCAGAGTCCTTCCCTGAAAGTCAATGGTGAATTTTTCATCAGTCTGCTTTCTCTCAATTAAATTACAATCCAAATAGAGGGAAATGATCCCCGACTGCACGCTAATACCAAGTTTATGCCACTGCCGATCGAACAATGGATAAATTTCTCGACTCTTAAAAGTGTAATGTAGTATATTCCCCTGAGCAGATTTGGTCATATACTCCACAACCTTTTTTGAACCATCCAGAAGCACAGAGATCTGAAAGCAAGATGAAGAAGAAATGGTCATTTAAAAGTTAGAATAGGAGAGTTAAACACATTTACAAACTATATATAATAAAAATACTCCTATCAAACAGACTGAGAAGGAAATATGAAGCTTTCTTTTATGTAACTTTGTAAAAATATCAGCTATAAATCAAGCATGCCTTCTACCCTAGTTTGCAGTCTTAACAGAATAAATTTCCTTAATTTTTTGTCTTTCCTACAATTAATTATCAACTATTTCAGAGTAGTCTGTCTACTCTGTGGAAACCATAGCAAAATTCAATGGTAAAACAAGTAAGTTATATTTGTCATATTACGTGGGGAAAAAAAACTAAATAAAGGATAAATAAATCAAAGACAATTCCAACCTCGGGAGTATCGTGTCGATTTAAGACTTGCCATATATACCAACGCTCTTTCTTGGTATTTCGTCGTATCCGGAATGTAGCAACTAGAGAGTATTCTTCAGGTAGCCCATGTGGAAATACTTGCCTACAGTTGAAAGAAAAAGAAGGGGGGGGGAAGGAGGGGAAATAAAGAAGAAAAAAAGAATCTTCATTATTCTTATGTACACATACATATTCTCTAAGAGGAATGAACAGAAGTAATATCTGGTGAAATCCGTGCTCACTCACAGTCAAAGAATTTCACTGGCTTCAGTATTCAGAAACGTCACCTCCTACTTCCTCATGCTCAAAAATACAATTCAATTTATTTAAAAGAATGACTGAAAAATTACCCAATAATTTCTCTTCTTGTTTTTCTTTTTGAAATCTTAAGATACTATAAATGAATGTCGTAAAAAGAACTGCTGCAAAATCAGTGCCATACATAAACAAACTTTAAAACACTACTTTTACAAAATTTATTTTTTTGGTACACTGGAATAAGTTTTCCAAAGAATCTGTGGAATAATTTGTGAAAGATCTGTGGGATAATCTCCATCCTTGGATGCTTGTGAAACTCAGCAGAAGATGGCTCATAATAATCATAACAACATATTCCAATTTGTTGGTCCTGCTTTGAATAGCAGATTAGATCCTGTGACCTCCACCGTCAATGACTTGGATGTTTTGAATATTAGAACAACTGGAGCAAAAATAAGGAATATCTTTCTGAATGTATGTCTTGTGATGCTCAATTTCATCATCCCATTTTTACTTGAGATATGCCTCCAAAAACAGGTCTGACTTGCTACCCACATCACAGAATGTGGGAGAATACCACTTCTGTGAACTTCTGGAAAAGTTTACATTTCAAAAGCATGTTGTTGAAATTACTCCATAACTCAGCTGTACAGATTGGTAATTATTAAATACATACTAATTCTGAAATAAACAAATTGAGATGGTGTCATCAATTTTTTTTTAACTTGTTTTTTTGTTTGTCCTGATTATTTATTTTCTAAAACTGAGGTGAAATAAAACTACATAAAGTGTTAATGCTGAGGTTTTTTTTACATTTGGAACAATGAACAGCAACACTCTGTGTCACCCAACTAACTACACTGCAAAAAGTATGCCATGGATCAAAATGGAGGAAACTTGAGGGCTCCACTCAGAAAAAAAAAACAAAAAACCAACAAACAACAACTCTGGTTTTCATCTCCTCATCATTTGAAGTAAATAAAACTACAAATGGGATTATAATCACACAGTAATGTGCTATAGGAGAAAGAAAAAAGCACCAGCTGACAAGACAATAACTGCACCGTCCTCCTGGAAGGCAGTGCATTTCAATTCACTTATGATCTCAGGAAAAATGCCTTCTGTCAAGAGAGGCCTGCTCTAAATCCTCCCAAAGAGCTTCTTTATTGACTAACACCTCCTTAAAGTTCTTTATCCTGGAATCACATTTCTTTGGCATATTTCCATCACCTGATTCCTGTTTTGATCCCAGGACCAAATTGGCTGCTCTCCCACATTGTCAGCAGACCCATATGCATTGTTGCACAGTTACAGATGTTTCATTGTTGAAAGGCAAGGCAGAAGTGAACAGGATTTGCAGTACTTAAATCTAGATTTCATCCTACTCCATACCTTCTTTACGACATGAGAAATATCTATGATTTCTTACAAAGTATACCTTGATTGAACATTATTGAAACACAAGTGCATCTCAGTAAACTATCTGGATGTAGAATTGGCCTTATGGTTTACCATATCCTGGGCAGGCTGAGGACACGGCAGCTCAGGTTTACAGCTGTAATCTACACAGGACATCTGGCTGTAGAAGCATCTGTTTAGCTCTCCAAAAGCAATTAGCATTCCCAGTTAAGTTCTTTATTAAGAGACACGTGGGAGTTCATATTAATGGGCAAAGGGCAAACAACTGCAAGAGGGAAATAAACAGAAGTCTTCATCAAATGAAAGGAGGAGAAACCATGATTGGTATGACATGTCTACAAAACAGACGGAAGTAATTTCTGGACTTGCTAGGTATTCTAGTAAATATGGAACACACTTCTTTTCCCTTGTCTCCTATTACTGCAAGCCTCCCTGACACTTAAAGTGTTATCTAAACAAGTAATGGTATTAATCTTCTAAAATTCTGTTTCTTTTACAATATTCTCAAAAAACGTGTGAGTGCAAATAATACAAAGTAATCTATGTGAAATTTTTATCGGATTATTTGAAAGCAGAAAAGTTCTCAGGTACAGATCAGGTCAACACTATTAAGGAAGAGTAGGAGTTGATTCACCATTAGAGCTGATTGAGAAATTTGCTTTGGGAAAAATGAAAAAATTACAAAAGATTTAAATAATTCCCAGTGGCACTACGCTAATTTCAGTGAGGTCAACTGAAGAAGGTAAGAAATAAGTAGAAATAGACCAAGGATAAACTTAGATAGATTAACAAAATAATTTACTAGCTCAGGAGGCCAATGGATCCAGTCACCTGCTCCAAGTAGGGCAACTTGAAAATTTGCTCCAGTTACTATGACCTCTGTCTAGATGAACTTTGGAAGTCTCCATTGACGTAGATTATTTTACTCATCCTCTGGAAAACTTGTTCTAGTGTCTAGCCACACACAGAGTGAATTTATCTTATTTTAACCAATATCAAGTTGGAATTTCACTTGCTATATCTTGTGCCTATTGCCTCTTGACCATTTACTATGAACCTTTGATGGGAGCCTGTTTCTGGCCTCTATTAAATAGATGTAGGGAGCAATGAGGATCCCTGAGTCTCCTCTTCCCCAGACCAGACAAGGCCAGCTTCCCTGGCCTCTCCTCACATACCATGGGTTCCAGCCCTGCAAAAATCTTGGTCCTCCCACTGGATTTATCCCAGTGAGCTCTTCTCTGCTTTCCTCTCCAGGGAAGCACTAAATTGGACACCAAACTTCTGATGCAGTCTCACAAGCGACAGCAATCTCTTTCCCTGACCTACCAGACCTAATCTGGAAGTGTTAGTCGACAGCTGGCTGAACACGAGCCAGCAGTGTGCCCAGGTGGCCAGAAAGGTCAATGGCAGCAATACTAGGGAAGTTACCATCACCCAGTATGTTGAGGCCACACATTGAGTATTGTGTTCAGTTTTGGGCTCCTCATTCCAAGAAAGACTGCCTGGTCTGGAGCATATCCATTGAAGGGCAGCAAAGCTGGTGAAGGGTCTGAAGCACAAGTGTTAAGAGAAGCAGCTGAAGGAACTGGAATTATTTAATCTAGAGAAGAGGAAACTCAAGGGAGACCTTATATATCTCTACAATTACCTGAAAGGAAGTTGTGGTGAGATAGATGTCAACCTCCCAAGTAACTAGTGAAAGGACAAGAGATAATGCCCTCAAGTTCTGCCAGGGAAGGTCCAGGTTGGATATCAGGAAAAAATTCTTCTCCAAAAGACTGATAATGCATTGGAACCGGCTTCCCAGGGAAGGGATGGAGTCACCACCCTGGAGGTGTTCAAGAAATGTGTAGATATTGCACTTAGGTTTCAGTAGGCGTGGTGGTACGATGGATTGATGGTTGGATGTGATGATCTTAGAGGTCTTACCCAACCTTAATGATTCTATGATCCTATCTTCCTAGGATAGCTGAAAATGTAGTTAGCCTTTTCACCACAAGGGCACTCAGCACAGGCTGGAGCTCTTGTTCTATAAGGCCACTATCTGAGCGAACATTAATTCAGCATGTAATGCCCTATGGGGAGAGTCCTTCACAGGCACTGGACTTTGTGTTTGCTTCTGCTGAACTTCATGAGGTCTCCACTAGCCTGTTTCTCCAGTTTGCCTAGATCTTTCTGAATGGCAGCATTGTCATCAATGCACTATTTTCAATTTAGATTCTATGAAATATTGCAAAGAATTTTAGATTACTAAATGAAATTATTACATCATGGTTAGAAGTGATGTAAACAAATAGCAAGTCAATACTGTTAAATAAACCTGTACTACAGGTATGCTACACTTCAGAAACAAACAACACAGAATACCACTTTTGGCATAGAGGACAGTCTAAGACCATGCTTTACAATTACCTGCACAGCATAATGCCAAATACCACACATTTTACATAGAACTACTGTATACTGAAGACCAAACTGAATAGAAAAAATATATTTATTCTCCAATTACTGTTTTCATTGTTTAACAATGTGAACAGGCCTTGCTTACCAAAGAATTAAAAGATGTTTAAAATATGTGCTTTACATCAGCCCTCCAGTCAGACAGTGAATGCAATGACGTAAAAAAAGCAAATGGTAAAAAACTCAGAAAACAAGCATGCTATCTATTACTATATGCAGTTTCCTCTGGGTTCTTCTTCCTTGAATGACTTGAATTGAATGTAATAAAACAAAAATCACGCATCTAGCTTTGAAATTACATAGGTACAGATGATCAGTAAAGTAGTACAGAAAAATTTCAGTATTCCTCCCGTTATATCTTCTACTCTGTAAAGCTCAGTTATAGACTTTTCAGAAATACAGACAGAATGTATATATGTTCTAAACAATAAATATAAAATGACAACTGATAACAGGGAAAAAAAGCTGGAATAGAAGTATCAATATAGAACCTCTTCCTCAAATATGAGAAAAGCAAAAAAAAAAAAGCAAAAAAAAAAATCTCAGAATATTGAACTTGAACTTCAGTCTTTGAATGTTTAATATACTGTTTCACCTGGTTGCATCTGTCAACATTTAAAAAGGATTGCCATGAAAAACTAATAAGGCATCACATGCAGGGTGAAAACGATAAAGAAGTAGCATTAAACATTAATGAAAAAGACAAAATCAAGTTGTTCCACATATCCACAGATGAATAGGTATTTCCTCAGAGTACTTACTCTATTCTATGTGGCATAGGGAAAAGAACAACAGAAAAAAGGAGAGAATAAGGGTGAAAGAAACCTGAACAAAACTCACCTCAGAGTCTACAGATATAAAGCACGAATACCACTAACATTCCTACTAACACAGGGGTTAACACTCCCTATTACCTACGCCAAAAGCAGTAAGGGAAATAACAGGTCTTAAGTAAGATTCAACATG